CGTCGTGCCTCAGGCTCGACGGGCCGCTGGGCCGCGCGCCCCTCGGGGCGGCCGGGCGGCGCCTCCCTGCAAATGGGGCGCCGGCCAGGGCGGACCCCGCGGGTGCTGCTCGGCCTGCTGGCTGGCCAGGCATCGGCGACGCGTCCCAGGGGGGGGGGGGGAGTAGGAGGAGGAGGAGGAGGAGGAGGAGGAGGAGGAGGCGGAGGAGGAGGAGGAGGAGGAGAGGAGGAGAGGGGAGGAGGAGGGGAGAGGAGAGGAGGAGGAGGAGGCGTAGGAGGAGGAGGGGAGGAGGAGGAGGGAGGAAGGAGGAGGAGGAGGAGGAGAGGAGGAGGCTGAGGAGGAGGAGGAGGAGGAGGAGGGAGGAGGAGGAGGCGGGGAGGGGAGGAGGAGGAGGAGGAGGAGGAGGCGGAGGAGGAGGAGGGAGGGAGGAGGAGAGGAGGAGGAGGGAGGAGGAGGGGGAGGAGGAGGCGTATGAGGAGGAGGAGAAGGAGGAGGAGGAGGAGGAGGAGGAGGAGGGGGAGGAGAAGGAGGAGGAGGAGGAGGAGGCGTAGAGGAGGAGGAGGCGTAGGGAGGAGGAGGAGGAGGAGGAGGAGGAGAGGAGGAGGAGGAGGAGGCTGAGGAGGCGGAGAGGAGGAGGAGGAGGAGAGGAGGAGGAGAGGAGAGGAGGAGAAGAAGTAGGAGGAGGAGGAGGAGGAGGCGTAGGAGGAGGAGGAGGAGGAGAGGAGGAGGAGGAGGAGGAGGAGGAGGAGGAGGGGAGAGAGGAGAGGAGGAGGAGGAGGAGGGGAGGAGGAGGAGGAGGAGGAGGCGAGGAGGATGATGAGGAGGAGGAGCGGAGGAGGGGGAGGAGGAGGAAGGAGGAGGAGGAGGGAGGAGGAGGAGGAGGAGGAGGAGGCGGAGGAGGAGGAGGGAGGAGGAGGAGGAAGAGGAGGAGGAGGAGGAGGAGGAGGAGGAGGGGGAGGGGGAGGAGGAGGAGGAGGCGGAGGAGAAGGAGGAGGAGGAGGAGGAAACGGAGGAGGAGGAGGAGGTGAGGGGGAGGAGGAGGATGTGGAGGAGGAGGAGGAGGAGGAGGAGGAGGAAGAGGAGGAGGAGGAGCTGGAGGAGGAGGAGGAGGGGGAGGAGGCCCTCACCCCGCCGCCCCTCTCCTTCCCGCTCGGGGGGGGGAGATGTCAGAGGCCACGCGAGGGAGGGCATGGGCTCAGGCCAGAGGAGGAGGCAGCGACCTCGTCCCTCCCCGCCCCAGCAACGCCGCGCGCCCTCTCCCTGTCGGAATTCGGCGTGACGCCTGCGTGGGCGCAGACGCACACCGTGCTCGCACCTGTTGCGGCCGGTCCTTCGGTCACGCTTCCCCCCCTTTTGACTTCCGCGGATACGCTAACGGCGATGTAGGCAACGGCAGTGTAGGTTTCGGTTTTGTGGGAACGTGTGGCGAGCGCTTTCCTACCATTTGCTGTGTCGCTTTCGCTCGATACATGTGCAGATTGGAAATGTAGGACAGTGTGGATCATGGCTTCCTACAAGTTGGCTCCCAACATCACCGTTCAGCAACATCGCCGTTAGCGTGGCCTTGTGACTCGTGTCCAGCCCCAATCAGCGGCAACGTTAGGGGGGATAGGCTCAGAGGGGGAACGCATCGACTCTCGATCTCCCGGCGATCGCCGAGGGGGGGGCGATAGCCCGCCCCGCCAAGGGACGTGCGAATTCGCGAACGGGACCTATCGCCGAGCTATATCGGAGCTGCATCGCCGATTCAAACTCGATGTTCCCCCCCCCCCCCCCGAGCTGATCCCGCCCTAACTTTCCCTCCAGCAGGGGTGCGCCAGCCTCGTCAGAAGGCGGCGGCGCTTCTCAGAAGCCTTGCTCGGCCTGCTGACTGGCCAGGCATCGGCCTGCTGGCTGGCCAGGCATCGGCGACGCGTCCCAGAGGGGGGGGGAGGAGGAGAGGAGGAGGCGGAGGAGGAGGACGAGGAGGAGGAGGAGGAGGAGGAGGAGGAGGATTGTGCTAGGATTGTGCTACTTAGGACTTACGCAGATGGAGAGCACCACGCAAGCCGCCTTCGCCGTGTAAGTTATTACTTACAAGGGCTTCCCTGTGGATGGATGGCGGCCCTCCCACAAACGCGTCAGTCGACCCTTGGCCGTCCGAGCTCGGGCGGGCTTGCAGGCCTCCTTCACTAGGTTCGTCCACTTACACTGAGCGTAGGAAGCGCAACGCCTGCAGAAAACAAAATTGGGGCGAAACACAAGGTGGTGCCCTAGCCCCTGTGCCTTAAGAGTGCGTGCTTGTCGGGCTTCGAATTCGACAGATTCTGCGCCCGACGGCCCGCTCTGAGTCTGGTTGGTGGCCCTGGGATCTTCCTGGTCCCTGTGGCCCACAGACGGGGGAGGGGGAGGCATCAGAGGAGGAGCAGGATTCGACTCGGCGGCCTGGCTCGGGGCTGGTCCTCTGATGCTACTCGGTTCGACATCGGTAGTCGTATCGACGACGTCGGACGACATTGCGCCGAGCCTTACAGCTAATTCCAGGGCATTTGCTACCATGCTATACTTCTGCTGATATGCCTGTCGCTGCCAGAAAGGGTGCGCACACAACTTAGCCCCCTTCTTCGCGTATTCGTCCGCGAAGCGGTTGCCTCTGAACAGTCTCTCGCCTATCTCTCGCCGCTGGGCTCGAGTGGCGTGGGCCTTTATTCTTGTTATTTGGATGGTCCTGGGGCCCAGCCCTCCAAGATCGTTCACCAGAAACCAAAACTCTCGCCAGAGATCACTGTGAGCCCTGGCAGGTGACGTGCACCAGTCCTCCCTTCTGGAAGTTCCGTCTACTACAGCCTGACAGTCACACTAGATTTTGAGGGGCGGCATCGCGCACCTCAGCACCTGAAGGATGGCGTACAGTTCAGACGGGTATATCCCTTGCCGATTCTGTGGCAGGGGGAAGGGGGCCGAACGCTGAAAAAGCAAGGCTCTCCCCCGAGGCATCGAGGGTGGCGAAGCTCCACCCCGCACGCCGAAGGGGAATACATTCGCCGTACAAGAGAGATCCATATGTGAAGACCTCTCCTGTGATGGCTCCTGGACGTTCGCCCTCATGCTGGACCTCGAACGAGACTGGCAGAACATCCAGGAGCTCTACTGGGTCCTCGGAGATACCTCTGGCCCACAGTGATTCAAAACCTGGGAACGGGTTTGCTCCTCTGTGCTGCACGTGCCTGCCGCCTACACGCCTGCGCATCGCATCTCGCGCGCTGCATACGCACGTGCGGTGCAAGTCTGTTCCTACAGCACTCACGCATGCCTGGCACTGGTCGGTCGTCGCACGACCAGCCTTAAATATTCTCTGTTGGGGCCACGTGCCTCCCGCAAACAAGGTTCGGGCCCGCGTGCGATGCTTTGCAGTCCACTTTTCAGACAGGGGCCTGCGGAGCAGCATTCTAATCGGCTCCAGAAAGACGCTCTTAGAGACATTCACCTCAGGACCCCAACGCGCAAGCCAGCCGCTCTGCAGCCCAGAATGTGTGGCCTGGCGCACGAGGGAGTGAAGGTAGTACAAATCAATCTGAGCCAAATCGTGCACCTCTGTCCCGCACGCGACTGTAGCTGGACTCTGGGTGCTCCAACCAAGGCGAATTACAGTTGCAATGAACGCGCCAGCTGGCCCTCTCACTAGGCCCCACGGCCTCGGATGCCCGTGGAGTCGCATGACCCACGAGCGCCGGCTCGCCACCAGGAGGCCCCGCGTGGCCATGTCCGTCGCCTCCTGCCACGCCCTGGCCCACTCCACGACGGGCCCCGCGTTGGCGACCACGGCAGGGTCCGCGTCCTCCGCCAGCAGCACCAGCGCAGCCGACCTCCCCTTGTTGCATCCAGGGAAGGCCGCTGCCACAGTCTGCCTGAGCGTGGTGATCAGTGTGTCCGTAGCGCCCTGCACGCGCGCGCCGTAGAGCTCCGACGGCGCGATCCCGAGCCTGACCACCTTCTCCGCTGCACCTCCTGCGGCCTTGACCCGCTGGATCTTCCAGCTCCTGGCCTTGGCCTTGATGATCCTCTTGGACTGGGCTCCGACACGTCGTCGCCGCGCAGCTGATTGGGCCACTCCCAAATGCGCGGCCTCACGCACCACCTGAATGCCCATCTGCTTGTTCTGGCTGCCTAGCTGCCGCTCCACTTTGCCATGCGAGACCGCGACTGCGGTCTTGCCGCCCCTGCCCCTCGAGACCTGCAGCTTGAGCACCTGCTCGAGAGCGAAGACGATCTCGTCTGTCATCTTCATGTGGAGCGCTGCCACGGCGGCCGCGTCGCCCCTGGTCGACGCCGCGAGGTCGTCGAAGTAGAGGCACATGTCGGCCCTCGGGTTCGCTATGTAGAGGTCGCCGATAGCGCCGATGAGCACGAGGGACAGACACAGTGGGCCGAACACGGATCCTGCCACGATCCCTTGCGCCCAGAAATTACCCTCGGTGCAACACCCATTCAACACCACTCTCCTCATCAAAGAAAATACTCTCAATATGACACGCAGCAAGGGCCTTGGGAATCCCCAGCGCAGGCCACCGCTCCAAATGAGAGAATGTAGCACGGTCTCGTAGCACTTCCTCAAGTCGTAATATGTGGTGGCGATGGCTTCGCCCTGCGCCAACGACCCTTCAGCTAGGAGGCCCTGCATCCAGGCCGCTCGTTCAGCAGACCTGCCCTTCACAGCCCAATCAGATCCTCGTGGATTTCGGCTTTGCCATTTCTGGATCTCGGAGCGCCTGATCTTCTCCCATACTCGTGCGAGCTCTGGTAGAAGCCCCAAATTCCTCATGCCGCCCTTGGGCTTGGGCTGAAGCCAGAAAATGATGCATTGCTGCGAGGCGGGCCAGTCGGATCCGCGCTCGATGCAATTCAGGATACTCGCCAGGCCTGCTAGGCCAACCGCTGGCCCTTGGGCCCACAGCCCGGGGTGGATGTTGGACTCGCCCAGGCCCGTCTTGGGGGGAGAAAGCCTTGCAGGCGTGCAGCACGTGGTGGCCGAGGATAGGCGGCAGCATGGACTCGTCTACCGCAGGCGGCTCGAACCATGGCGCAGCCCAGTCCACCTGGTAACGCCATATGCTCTCCCACTCCTGCAACTTTGTGTTGGCGGCTGTCTGCGGGTCCATCATGGCGACGTGCTGTGACGTCTCACCCGCTGGGGCCGTCTGTGGAGGCTCACCGAGTCTGGGTTTCGCCTCCCTCGTATTCTGTGGTATCAAGGGCTCCCACGGGACCTTCGGCTTGGCCCACTTGCGCAGGGCCCCCGCGGACTTCTCGCTGTGGTTGCGAACCCATGCCCGCCAGGACTTGGCGGCTTCCTTGAGCTCGCTCTGCCTCGCCTCGTCCGCCTCGCTCGCCGCGACCTGCTGCCAGTACTTGAGGTTTTTCCAGGCTCTCTGTCAGCTCCTGCTGCTCTTTCATGCATTCAAGGATGGTCTCGAGGACGTGGGGCCACGGGGTCTTCAGCTCCTCTCCATACTGGTGGAGTTGTACGAGGGCCCACTGCTGGGTCATCGCCTCATTGATGGACTTGATGCGGCTCGTCTCCTGGCCGCCTGCCTCGCGCGAGTCGCTGCTGAGGCTGTGGACCAGGTCCCGCAGGATAATCGCCACCCATTATGTTGCCATAGTTCGCGCCGCCGGGGCTCCCTTGTCCCTGACCGTCGGGGGCGCTAGCTCTCGCATCTTGTAGACAGCCTTTTCGCCATGCCCACTGTGAGCCAGCAGCTCATCGCCGTCAAAGCAGTGATATCTGTTCCAGTGCATCTCATAGGCGTGCATGAGATCGTGCCAGAAGGCGTTCAGAGTCTCGTGGTCGACATGCTCCCTACGGAGAGGACGTGGCCACTGCACTGGTGGGGTGGGGCACCCTGTTGGCACAGTCAATGGCCATGGTACCTTCTGTGCGAGCTGGAGGGCCTGTGGCACAGGCGATCGGCGCCCTATCTTCATCATGATAGGCCTATGGGGCTTGGCCGCAAAAGCCGTCATGACATCAGCTCGAAGCCCATTCTCCAGCAAACTTTCCGAGACGATAAAGTAGCCCCTGACCGAGTAGTTGCCCGCACTTCCCCTGCACGTGCCTTCACTCTTGTCGTAGACCAGGTGCCCCTTCAGCTTGGCGATGGTACCCGTGCTCATCAGCTCGTGGGGCCCCATGTTGAAGTCGCCGCCGAGCACCCGCGGTTGGCCTTCCACGGCCATGAGCGCCCCAAAGCGGCTGAGTATTGTGAGGTTGCGGTTCGAGGGCCCTTCTGCCACCCAGAGGTACACAGAGCCCACCGCGATGCCGTGCTTGCGGCATGTCTTGACGTAGCCCACACAGAGTCTCCCTGGTGACTCCTTGGGCGAGGCGTCCCACTTCATCAGCTCGGGCAGGTAGGTAATCCCCATGCGGCTTGGCACCGCGATCATCACCCCCGCCCTCATGCCTTGCTTGGTAGGCGCACTGGGCACCACTGCCGCCTTCCAGCCGTATTTGATGAGCCTCCTGGCCGACAGCAACTCTACTTGCTTGGGCACCAAGTGTAACTCCTGGCCGAAGACGACTGGGGCCTCGACCTGGTAGCGCAGCTGGAGCAAAACCTTCTCGAACTGGTTTGAGGTGTTCGCGTAACCTGTGATGAACACCTGCTTCTCTGCCCTGGTACTTGCACACTGCTCTGGTGTGTCACTAGGAACGCGACAGGCTCGACTTCCGCATTGCAAAGTGGAAACCATCAGCCATGTCAGCAATAATCATACGCAACATCGGCCCATGCTTCTAGATCTCTTCATCCTTGACACCGGCCTGCTTAAGGGCTGTCGTGATCTCCTGGGGGCTTGCTTTGGCCTTGAGCTTGAGGACGTCCTCGCTCTGCTCGTCGGGGCCGATGCAAGCGCGCCTCTTGTGGCGTGGTCCGTCGCCGCTGAGGCTGTCCCCGTCTTCATCCATCGGCACGGCCATCTTCTCTGCAGCGCTCGCCTTCTTCTTCGCCGCAAGTGCGAGGGCCGCTTCCAACTGCTCGATGCCCTCCGCATCCTGCTCCTCGCCGTCGGCCCCCAGGGACGTCTTGGCGAGCTCCAGGTGCGCGCAGACCGAGTCCCAGCCCTTGGACGTGGGGGGCCTGGCGAGCGCCTTCTCCTTGGCACGGAGGGACTCGACCTTCTTGTTAGCCTGCTCGGCCCTGTTCTCTGCGGTGCGCAGCTGAGTCTGGATGTCCTCGAGCTGCTGCTTGAGCTTTGCCACATGGGCATCAGCCTTCGTCTGTGATTTCTCTGCTCCACGGAGACGGCGGCGCACTGCCACTTCCGCGCAGCATGCTGGTAGCGTTGCTTCCTTTTGTGCCAGCAGCCCGTCGATCTGTTCCTGCAACTTCGACGTGGCATCCGATGCGAACTCCATGCCTGGCTCCTGCGCGAGCTGTTCGAGATCCTTGAGGCGGGCCCTGTAGATCTCCAGCTTCTTCGCGATGCCCGACGTGGTCTCGTTGGAGGCGTCGCCATCGGCATCCTGGTGTGTGTCCTTCGGTCCGTCGCCCTGCCCGTCTCTCTTGGGCGTCTGCCGAGGCTTCTTGCACCAGTAGTATACTTTTGTCCTTCCCCAACAATCGTCTGTGTGGCACACTGAGCAGGTCCACACATCGCCAGACTGGGGGGGGCATCTGGGTGCTCGGGGCGGCGGTGCCGCTGCCAAGTTTGCCGCACCCTGCGACACGAGAAATCTCCTGGCACCTGGAAATCCTCGAGTCGGGCAATGGCCCAGGAGGAGGAGGAGGAGGCTGAGGAGGAGGAGGCGTAGGAGAATGAGGAGGAGAATGAGGAGGAGGAGAAGGAGGAGGAGGAAGGAGGTGGAGGAGGCGG